TAATTTCACTTTCTCTTCGACAGGAATGGTATTTGAGAAAGGATAGTGAGGTTTGTTATCTTTTTCTTGCATTAATTCCACTTTCTCCTCCGCAGGAAAGATAGTTTGCATATTTAAGCGACCAATATCGTATAAGCTTCCATTTTCCCTTGCTGGCGTAGCAAACCGGTGCGGTAATTCCACGTAAGATTTGCGCTTATATGGCTGTAATGAACATTAAATATGCAGTGGCTCGAAATTCAATCTTTATATCAATAAAAAATCTGTTATATCATTTTAAGTTTGGCACCGATTCTATCTATCTTTTAACTTTCTTGGTTTTTTTATCATTTCAATAAAAATGATTTTAAATTTGAAAATTTCAAAAGATATATCAAATGATGCTTCTTTGACTTCATTTCCAAACTCATCGACGTCAACATCACAGTAATGATGAATTATCAGTTGTTGTTCCAAATCACCGATAAGGAATAAAACACCTGCGATAGCCTGAAATTGACCGGTGCCGTTTGTTTTTACCACATATGAATGTCCACGTCTTCCTGAAATTATATTTTCCATGAAAAACTAACAAAATTGTCAACCAATTATCAGCTCCATTAGTATTTTTGGCTACAATATATCTTTGATAACAAACAAAAATTAATTTTAAGCTAATATTACTTATGGCACTTACTCTCAGTGTATATTTCAATAGCAGTATCGTTCAAAAATTTTGCGCCACACATTAATTGTCCGATAACAGTATATTCTCTACCGAATGTAAGTGTGCAACACAGTAGGAGTGCAGAAAAAACAGTCAAAATTTGCATATCCAGGTGGAATTATGCTGAAATTTTAAAAAACAAATATGATAAGAAAGAAAAAATGAAATGTAATTTATCATTCGCGGCTAAAATTTCGTTGTTTATCTTAATTAAAGATTAAAGAAACTTTGAAAAAGCAGTGACAATCAATTTGAATAAATTGTGAATTGAATTTTTCTTACGTAATTTTGTTATGTGTACGTAAAAATATTTGAAAATTTAATAATCATCTTAAAGTCCAACTGCAACTTTTAAAATGCTTAAAAAATTATTGCCCATTACAGTAATTCACTGTTGATTTAAAAATTCTCGAATAACTCGCTCTTTTTTCTCAAAATATCAACGCAATGCCGAAAAATAACTGTTTATTGTAGAAGAAATAAGAAATGAATAAAACATAAACGGAAATGAATTT